CTTAATGTACTAAGCAGATCACAAAGCAAATTGCTTATCACTAGTATGTGCCCGCTATAAACTTCTGAAGGCTATCTGATCTGCAAAATGCAAATCATTGATTGCATGTGCTTTGGGGGAGTCAGACATGTAACTGTGGCCATTTTGGAGAGAGTAAACCATCTAAGTCTTGGTTCAGTTACAGTAATGACTAATTTAATACTAGATTCTCGCATGATTACAGAAGTGTGTGAATGACTCAGCCCATTAATATCCTTCACTCCTGTGATCTCCCCTCCCAGTGAAATAATGGCTGTAAGGCAATAATGATAATTGGAGGAGGAGGAGAACTTGACTTTGCCCTGTGGCAATAAAATGACACACTTTGAGTAATTACATATGCACACAGTATTGGGTGAAAGAAATGAGGAATATAATAATTTTATAAATATCATTAATATTTATGTTAAAGCACAGTGAAAGTAATAAGTAGCTTCAGTATCAGTGAAGACTGAGCTCTGTGTTTCTTTTTCCTAAAACAACTAGCCTCTGTGTTGAGTGGCAGAACCATTGGAGGCTTAGCTTAGTTGCTAACAGGCATTCACTGATGGCCTTCCTCTTGCTGACACAGGATGAGCACCACAGTCACAAGAGTGTTGGGCTCCAGTTAGCGTAGCTAAATGTTCACAAGTAGTTTTGAGCTGAAACTTAGTAGTTGGTTGAAGCGTCTGTGGATCTTTGGGGGATTATGTGTTTTTTCCTAGTGCTGCTCTATCTTTTTGAATCCATTCATTAGACAAAGAGCTGGATATTTGGAGTGAGCCTTCGTACGTTTTTCTCCTCTCACTGGAGTCACTAGTGACTTCAGCTGAGTCTGATGGAAACTTCTCAATCCTTGTTTACCTTGACCCCTTTTCCATCTTGTAATTTCACTTTGACACATCTTGAAATTCCTTCCTAGACTTCTGACACTTTTTTTGGTTGTCTTCTTAACTCTTGTGGTTTTTCTTTTTTGACTCTTCTTAACTGCCCTTAAATGTGGTATTCTCTATAGAGTTTTGTCTTGGTCTGTTTTTTTTTTCCCTTTGGTGTGTTTCCATTTATTCAGTCTCCTTGGTGATCCCATTTATTTCCATTCCACATGGGTGTTTCCATGTCAGTCTTGCTGAGCTTCAGACCTGTATATCCAGCCATCTGAATGTATATGTCATGATGATGATAACAGCGACGACAGCAACACAGCTTTGTGCTATTGAATACTCTGTGTCTGACTGCTGAATGTTTTATTGCTTCATTCCATTTATTCCTCAGCAACACTGTGCAGTTAGTGCCGTTATTATTTTCTTTTTCCAAGAGGGGAAATTAGCGGTAGGTGCATTTGCTTTCAGTCTCACGTGGCAGCAATCATTGAAGCTGAGTAGCAGCTCTCCTTGGATCATTTCCTTCATCACAGTCCCCATCACTGCCCATGGTCCTACATTTACTGTGAGTTTCCTTGTGTCTCTGCTTATCTAGTTCTGTAGGTATTTATGATTCCTGGAAAAGAATATTTATTGCTGTGCTTTCCCAACTGATCATCTTCGCTGTAGTTGAATGATCTTTCTCTAATGAAATCTGTTACTTTCTTTCTCTTAGTGTTTTTGGTTTGCATTTCCTCATTGACTCTTTCTTCTCAGTCCACAAACATGTTAAAACCTTTATGCTGAAGTTAAAAGGAAAAGGTTAGATTTTTTTGATCATCTACTATGTGCCAAAGTTAAATACAAATATTATTGTCTACACTGTACTGAAGTGGGTATTACTGATTCCTAATTAGTGGTGAGAGAAATCCAAGGATTTCCAGAAAGATTGTCCCAATATCCACAACCAAGGGTAGACCCAGATTTGATCCCAAGGTCCATGTTTTCTCTCCATCACATCAATTTCACTTTACGCCCCTATTATCTTCTTTGTGGCCAACAAGTTTCTTAGCTCTTTCCCATGATCAGCTCCCATCTCTCTGTCCTTCCGTTAGCCACCAAACTTTGTTCATTTGTTTACACAAAACTCCCCTACTCCCTTTTCCATCTCAGCACAGCATAATTGGGCCTTCTTATGGTTTACCCATGCGTGGATATTGTTTGAGCATGGATAAATGGTAGGCATCCAACCTGACACCAGGAAGTCCTCCTAACCTGGGAGAAGTCTCACAGGAGGGTTGACAGATCACCAGCTGCAGGGCACTGTGCTGAGTGCCTGGTAATTAGATCCAGTGTTCTCCTTAGTATTTTTCTTATTTGAGCTTTCTTACATCATTTTCCTCAAAAAGACAAGCACGTCTCTTAAGAAGAGAGAAAGGTATGGACCTAATGGTCTATTAGATCTTCTCCTCCCATCTTTGAGGTGTTTAAAATTTGTTCTAAAAAAAACCCAAGCCATTCATATCTATTTCATACTAGAACAACACAACTCCAAAAATACTCCCCCTTATCTATTTCTCTTAAAAATACAAAGCAAGAAACCACTAAAATAGTTTAATCTCTATCTATTGCAATGATTTAAACAGATAATGAGTTGAATATTTTTCATGCTGTCATTGTGACAGCTAGAGTATATTAAGTTCTCTTTTCAGTGGCAAACCAGACCAAAGAGAAGATATTTGCTACAGTGAATTTACATGTATTTCAGCAACTTTCTGAAGGTCCTCACTGTGGGGGAAAAAATACATTGTTGTGTGAGTTTTCTTAGGGTATTGCTTATTACCATATTGTCAACCTCAAAATGCCTGTCTCTTCCATTCTGCCCCCTCCCAGTGTCTATCCTACTCCTCCGTAATAGCTGTTAATTAACTACAGGAGTTAATTTTGTTGGATGCATTTGAGTCCTTATTGAAAAAGACATTTGAGTTTACTTATCACCTGCTCAGATCAGATCTTTTCTAATCATCACTGATTGCATAATAATTTCAGACTGAAATTACTTTCAGACTGAAGGCCCACCTGATTTCCTTCCTGTAATGTAGCATTAACTTCTTAGGTCTCTGTGAGTTTGTTTTATTTTATAAATCTAGGAAAAGAGTCAATAATTTTTTTCTAAGAATCAGCAATTTATTTTCTAGGTCTAGTCTGAACTCTTCATGCTCTAGCTTTAAGTTTGTCTCATCTTGTTCTCTTGTGTAGAGGTGAGGATAGCTAGTTACTGTGCGTAATAGCTCTTTTTCTCATTCATAGGCAGTATTAAATTACATTTCCACCTTCTTTTTTCCAAATTGAGCTTTATTGGTTCTTGAGCATTACAGGACTTATTTTAAATTTTTAATTACATATAAGACTTGTCATTAAAGCCTGTGTTTTCGTGACTTTTTAATGGTGAAACTAGCAATGGTTACATGTCATCAGTACAAGGAAACAGTTCTTACACTCTGCTTTGTAAATATAAATTTTAGGCATTTTGATATGCTGCTTAATTTTCATTTATATTCAGTTAATTAAAATACAGAGCAATTAAGCAAAAGAAAAATTATATATTTTTCCTCCGTGACAAAAAGTAACCAAAATAAGTAAGTTTAAGATAATCTTTTGATTTCATATGCATTGATAAATCAGAGAGATTAGAAATGTATCTCACTGACTAGAACCAAAACCAAGAATTTTTTGTATGTATCTTGTTGTCTTAGCATTATCTTTAACTAATTGGATGTAGAAGTAAGTACTTTTATTTATTTCTGAATCTAAGGAAGGAGGAGATCAAGGTTTATGATCTCTTGAGTTGTCTTCCAGCCCCCACATTATGTACTCTAGTAACAATCATAGTTGATAAACTGTGGCTGTCAATGTGTTTAAGTTGTTTGTTTGAAATACATGTATTGAGCACTGCCTCCTATATGACAGATACTGGTAATAGTGTTAAATCAGATCTTTCAAAGATTTATACTTTGTTAGGGGGGAAAGTATAAAAATAAGAGCAATTGTATATTACTGGGGATATGGTAGAAGGCAGGGCACAGTGGTGATTTTGGTGAGCTTTGCTTGGTGACAGGAATATCTGGAAAGGGTCCAGATAAAAGAGACCAGTTGCAAAGGCCTGAAGAGCAGCCAAGGTGCAGTGTTGTAGCATCTGCTGCTGGGTTGTCGAGGCTGAGGTTGCAATGAGAAAGTAGAGACAGTGGCTCTGGAGCTTTTTCAAGGGATTGGAACATAAACAGAAAATGGGGAGAGGAAACGGATTACAAAGGTTGTTTGTTTTTTAAATATAGGAGTGAAGAGCCAGTGTAAACATTTTTTGGGGAAACAGCCTCTAGAGAGGGAATGTTTGTTCTGAAGGAGATGAAGAAGTAATTAAGAACGAACTTACCGGTTGAGGATGGATAGTGGGAGAGAGGTGGATAGATATGTGGTAACGCAAGCATAGCAAATGTTGATTGTGACATCTAGGAGGTGGACCAATGGGTGTTCACAGTACAATTCCTCTGGTTTTCTGCATGTTTGAAAATTTAATAATATGGCATAATAATATAATATTTGAGGGAAGAAGGACAGATTGAGAGTTTAGCCTTGAGGGGGAGAATAAGGGACATACTTACTCCTTTTTGTAGCAGGAAATTGTGGAAGTTCAAGGCTAAAGCCTCACCTTCTTTTGTAATATAGGAGTCACTATCACTTGCTGGGGCCAAGGGACAGAAGAAGAGGAGCTTTGATAAAGAAAAATGGAATAACCAGTGTGGCAAGTGGGAGGGGGCTGAGCAGACAGAGGGAAGAGAGGGCGATGCTCAGGTCCTGAGGAGGCTGCCTCACTTTGCAGCTCTCCCTGGGATTTCTCAGAGGACAGTAGTTAGTGGGAACAAGGAAGCACTGTATAGTTTGAGAAAGGAGATGTAGGATGAGTAGATGGGATGAATGTTTCCCTTTGCTGTTTACCAGCAGTCTTGCCCTCTGGAGGATTCTCTTTTCTACCTCATAATCTTTTTATTTGAATTACATGTTATAAAATCTTCTTAGCACTGTTACTCTCATTGAACTAGACAATTTTGTTGTCTTCCTTAGGTAAAAGAAGAACGTCCAGAAAAAATACCAGATTTAAAATTATTAGTAGAGAAGAAATTTTTGGCTTTACAGAATAAAAGTTCTGACATGGACTTTCAGAACAATGAAAAATTTGTACAGTTCAAACAACAGCTGAAAGAACTAAAGAAGCAATGTAAGTCAGCATGCTTTGCTTTGGTTTGGCTTTTTGAAATTAGGGAACTGACTTCATGAACAGTCCCGGAAAACTGATTCTCTGGCATTTGCTTATCTGCCTGGCTTGAGCCTCTTCCTAAGTTGCTTTTTATTGTTGTTGCAGTTCTGTATTTTGTCTTAACTTTTGGTTCAAATCAGCCTGTCCATTCTGAAAGCCAACAGTTTCCACAAAGTGCTAAGAAAATTCCCTAGCAGCTGAAGAAAGTTACATGTTTCTTCCCACTGCTGGAGTGAGGAATTGGGAAAGCAAAATAATGCTGAAAATCATTTTACTAAAATAACAATGGCATTTTTCAAATCTGAAACTGCTGTGCCAAGCTTTATGGTAGCCACATTTTGATTCTAGTTTTATTGCTTTGGAGTGATATTAGTGATGTTTTCTGAGAAAAACTTTTTCTTTTCAAATGTGGACCAAAATCCCCTTCACCATATCACCTTTGTGTAGTATAAATTCCATGTGACTTGAAAATTGGTTGCCTTCTTAATAAACTATTATACTTAGGGTTTTTTAAAATATTTTTTTAGTTGTAGCTGGACACAATAACTTCATTTTATCTTATTTATGATTATGTGGTTCTGAGGATCAAACCCAGCGCCCCGCATGCGCTAAGCGAGCTCTCCACCGGTGAGCCACAATCCCAGCCCTATACTTAGGTTTTTTTAAGGAACATAGTTTGGACTTGAAAATGAGAGTAAGGAAATAATTTATTATACAGAAACATTTTGTAGAGAGAATTTGCCAGAAATAATGTATCTCTTCAGCGAAGTATGGATACCCTTTCCTGTTTAACAATGTTATATAAATTGACTTTTTACATTAGCATCTATTTAGCTCTATTGTCTTTTATTCTTTTTTTTTTATTTTTTTTTTAGGATTGAAGTCTTTTAATTCTTAAAGCATTGAATAGTAAAGCAAATGATTTTTTTTTTCTTTCTTTATATTTAGTCTCCTATTACCTTCATTTTTGTGCACATGGGGCAGGAATGTTGTATTATGTGAGACATAATTCATTTCATGCCCTTATATGTACTTAGAGTAGAGATCCATATTTTGAAATAGACTTTCTTTTACATATAAGCAGTTTCTTTAAACTGATGCTGGGATCTGAAAAAAAAAATGACTGAGGAAGCTGCTTTACTTTTGTCTATTTTACAAATAACTTGTTTCATAACTTGAAATATTTTGCAATCATGATGAGACTTTTGCTTTTACTGTAGATTTAAATAGTAAGCATCTTCCCCATATTTTAGGTCTATTTTTTTTTGTTGTTGTTCATTGAATACCATGGCTGCCAAAATCTTTCTAGTGTAATTTATGCTGTTCCCCCAAATGGGTAATAACCCCCAGAACAGATAATAATGTGCTAGTAGCTTTCTGATCTTATGGATGATAGTGAATTTCAGTTTCATTGTTGGTCAAAAGAGCCAGATGTGTTTTACTTTATTACATAGAGCCAATATTCACAGATTAGGCAGACCTAGCATCTAATCACAATGCCTGATTTTTAAAGGATTTTATAGTACAGAACAAAGGATATCCAAAAGAGAATTTTTTTCCTTTTTTGTTATTATTCCTAAAGAAAAACTATGAAGACTTTTAGAACAGAGTACTCCTGGTGAGGCATTTTCTAATTAACAATATATAATTCAACAAAATGATATACATTGGAATCATGATTAGTGTTTCTTTACTTTTCTCTAAAATGGGGTGTGGGAGGGAGATTTCCCAAGACCAACAGTACACCTCCTTTGGATAGACAGTTAAACTAAACCTTATAGCAAAGTAAATTTATATTGAAAGAAATGCTTCCTTATGTAAGGTTTCCCCATATATTATAACACTGGAATTAAAAGAACTTTCCCTATAATTTCCCCTAAAATATTCTTCCAAAAGTTTTTAAATCTTGAATGACAGAACAAATAAAATATTAATCCTCTTTTAAAATGCTCTGTAAGCTGTGTATATTCCATTTCCAAAAATGGAATGGTTTTTTTTTTTTTTTTTTTTTTTGGTACTGGGAATTGAACCCAGGGCCGTTTAATCACTGAGCTACATCCCCAGCTCTTTCTATTTTTTTGATTTTGAACAGGGTCTTACCAAGTTGCTTAAGGACTTGCTAATTGCAAAGGCTGGCTTTGAACTTCTGCTTCTCCTGCCTCACCCTTCTGAGCTGCTAGGATTAAAGGTGTGCACCACCATGTCTGGCTTAAAATGGAATTCTTAGTGTAGAATTATGAGCACTGCCAATTAAAACTTTATCATGTCTAGTGGATTTTAGTTCTTAGATTTTACTGCTACAAGTATCCTGGTTAGGATCAAGCTTTCACAATATTTGTGGTTCCAGGTCAGAGATACACGGTGATGTATAGATGAGCTAATTTGTTTTGAGAGATGTTCTAGAGATACAGAATTACAATAATTTTTTAAGATTGGAAAATAGAAGCTTGGGGAAAAGTTTGTTTCTCTTGCCTGTTTTGACAAAGTAAAGGCTCAAATGTTTCTTTGTTTGTATATATCTAAAAGGTTCTTTCATGAAAATAACCATGGTGTTTTCACTACCTTTATTATGTGAGAACATGAATTTGTAGGATTTAATTTTATCAAACCTGGATCCAATCAAAGAAATTCCAAGAAGCTCTTGGGTGGGGAGAGGTCCAGGTGGAGATTATGTGACAGGCAGGCAGTCCTCAGGGCACTCTGCTGACTGTAATTTGCTCCCCCTGATGGAGCTCAGCAGCTGGTCCTCACACTCTTTTGGTCCCATGCTGCCCTTTTATTTTTTAAATTTCTTGAGCACCCTAGAGAACTATATCTGTTGTTTATCCTATTAGAAATAAAAACTGAGGGTTTGCATGTTAAAATAAACAGCATTTGATATGAAATCTAACTATATTTTTTAAACCTAAAGAAAAGTTGCTGAGAAGAGTGACACTGTTCTGCATTTTTGCAAACATCTTGGATTCTGACTTAGAGGCAGCTAGATCCTCATCTGTGCTTCTGCATTTGGTCTGTTGTGATACATTGTTTTAGTTTTAGTAGACTACATTGGTAGTTGGACTTGCAGACCACCAGAAGGTCTCATTTGCAAACCTCAGATCTGAGCCAGGAATTGGTTACCAGATTTGTGGGCCAAATCTAGCTGCCTTCTTGTTTTTATGTGGCCTGCAAACTAAAAATATTATATTTTTCAATTGTTGGAATAAAAGACTATTTAGTGATGTGAAAATTATATGAAAATCTGATTTCAGCATTTATAAATAGTTAAATTAGAATATAGGCATGCTCACCCACTTGTGTATCATTTGTGAGGCTTTACACTATAATGATGGTGTTGAGTAGCTGTGGCACAGATCACTGGCCCACAGAGCCTATAATACTGTGTGGCTCTTTGTAGAAAAAGTTTTACTGATCCCTAGATAAAAATCATAATCAGAAACAAGAATATTTTTTTTTTTTAAATTTTAGATTATTCCCCCTAAATACCATCCATTTGTCTTAGGTATGTTCAGAACACCTTGAGTAACCACTAAATGTGAATCATTGCAGTTGATGCTCTGAAATGAATAAAAAGCAGAGACCCTGTACTTGGAGACAGTGTATGCAAACATGAAATAATGCAAGAACAATTTATATTGAATTAAAAAAATCAAAATTAAAAGAAAAAACAGAAACAAGTATTTTACAATGTAAGATCTAAGTAAGGAGGGTCAAAATTGGAATATAGATTTTATCTGCCATGCTAACATTGCCAGTCATTTATAAGCGTCTCTATAGTCCAGTATATTCGGACAGATTCTGAGGCTCAGTTCAGGCCCAGCAGGAAAGAAATGTACTAAAGGCTTACAGTGGGAGAGGGAAGGGACACTACAGGTGCCCTTTACCTTCTCAGATACAAACTTCCCAGATCTGCCATGCTCATTTAAAGATATTATTTCTCTACAGGTAACATACTTTAGTTGCACATAGCAAATTTTTTGTATGGTTAATTCTTATACATATTACTTGCCATTATGTTCAGCTTTTTTGAACAAATGACATTATGCCTTGGGGAGGAAATTATTGGGAATATCACCCCGATTAAATGAAGTACCGGCTCTTTGCAAATTCCAAAAGCTTGCTTTAAACTTAAGTTGTTGAGGAATTTAGCATAGCACAGTGGAAGGAATATGAGCTTATTAGCAACCAGAAGACCTGGGTTTGAGTCACCTGATATGTAACCTGTCCTCCCCGCAGATGCCACTGATTTTTCTTGCTTCTGATTCTTGGAGTTATAGAAAATCAAGATTGGTTGAAGATAACTTTTACACTTCTAGATGACTAAGATGGTGACAGTGGTGATAATTGTGTTAGGCAACAGTTTCATGGAAAATAATTCTGTTTCCCTAAATAGTAATCATATTCTTACTGAGAGGTTGTCAGAAAATAGTGTGATTTGGCTTCATGTAGTCATATTCAGGCTTTCTTGGATTATATAATTTTAATTTATTTAAAAGTATGTTAAGGTAAATTTTTTGTCATCAACTTAAGCTGTCTTTACTACTGTAGTCATGGTTTCTTGCAATTTTAACTTCTGGAGAACTTAATTAGAATGAGTGAATACTTCTGTGTAGATACTCAAGTCACCAAGAAATCTTTCTAGCATCCTTTATTCATTTATTTACCTAATGTATGATTAGCAGACATCATAAATTTAGTGCAGATCACAAAAGCAGGATTGAGGATTGTAGATAATAACTGATACTTTGAAACTTTCAGGGCTTTGTTTTATAGTCAAAAATAGAGTTGACTGAATCTGAGCTGTTTTGTGTTTTAAAATTATTTAATGTGAAATTTAAATTTATTAGTACATTTAAATTCTGAGTTCCAGTGTGCCTCATTATTTTTTTTTTTTTATTTAGAATTTGCTAACTTGAAGGTATTCGCCACAAATTTAATACACTGTATTAAGGTCATTGTTA